CTAACCCCATCGGCCTGCGCACCCGCCTGATATGACCTAGTAGCGCACGTTCGGTAAGCGTTTGCAAATCCATGCTCGATACTGGTTCGAACACCGATGTCGCGTCGATGAACGGAGATACTGCGATGACCAGCCGCCCACATCGCGAATGTCGCAAAGTGCCTCTGGCGCGAGGGGGCACGCCAGCAGGGGAAACCACTTTGACACCACAAAGCACAATAAACCACGCCAGGCGCTCCTGCTTTCCCGTGGCCTGGGCTAGTCCACCACAGGTGGGTCCTGTCAGAAGCGTTCCCTACGTCTGAGGCGTAGAGATCTGGGAGCACAGCCGGGCGACCCCCATGCGCAGGCCTGGAAAGGCGCAGGCGAGGAGGGCCCAAGCAAGGAGGAGACTGAGGGCAAGAGGGATGCCGCGTCAGCTTGGATACTCCTCTTGGAGGCCTGGAAATGGGCACCAACACCAAGACACGGGGCTGCCTCCACAGGGTGGAGACGATCCTAGAATTCGGTGTTGGTGGTAATATTTCGGTCACCTTGGAAGCCAGAATATTACCACCATCACCGAGATCGGGATTTGCTTCCCTCGGTGGAGGAACGCCGGCGATCTTGGTGTTGGTGTCAACCTCTAGGCCTGCGAGGATTCTCCATCATGAGTGGGCTGGTCGTGCGTAGGATGCCTTTCCCGCGCCTCGAACATGGCCGCGCGCTGGCCTGGCGCGCGCAACCGAAGGTAAGTGTGCGTTGTTAACGATGTCGTTGTTTCATGGCCTTGGCCTTGGCATTGCCTTGGCCTTGGCCTTGGCACCTTCGCCGTCGGAATGCATGGCCTTGGCCCGCCCGCGCACTGCAGCCAACCATGCTGGCAAGCGTTCGCTGCGGCCGCCCGCTCATCGTCTCCAACCGCTTGCTTGGCCCCGAATCGGATGCAGCGGCCTCTGACGGAGGGTGCGCCGCTGGATCTCCCCAAGTGGGGGGGGTACCCCCCCCCCTTCCCCGATCCGTCGTCGGGGACCCCCCCACCCCCCTTGCCCGATCCGTCGTCGGGTACTCCCCCCCCCCTTTCCCGATCCGTCGTCGGGAACCCCCCCCTCCCCCCCTTTCAGAAGGAGGGGACGGGTCCGAACCCCCCCCCCCCCATCCCCCCCTTTGGCCGCCAAATTTGAACCCCCCCGCCCCCTCCCCCCCTTTCGCCACGGCGCCCCCGAGCTCCGAAACCCGACCCCTACCACCCTTAACACTAATCCTCACCCTTACCCTAACCCCTAACCCTAACCCCGAACCCTAACCCTAACCCCAAACAGTATTCACTACTCGTTACGCACTCCTCACTACCCACTACTCACTACCTGCTACCCACTACTCACTTCGAACTACTCACTACATACTACTACTCACTACCCTACTCCCTACTCACTACTCACCACTCACTACTAACTATTCACTGTTCACTACCCACTACTCAATACGATCCACTCACTAAACACAACTCACTGCCAATTACTCAGTAATCACAAAATCACTACTAAATCACTACTCACTACGCACGAACCCTGTCCACTACTCACTGAACACTACTTCACTATCCACTACTCGCTACTCGCCACCTCCTACTCCCAACACAGTACTCACTACCCACTACCAACTAGCCACTGCTCCCTACACTCTCCTCGCTACCAAATACGCACTACTCACTACCCACTACTCACTACTCACTACGCTCCCACTACTCACTCCTCACTACTCCCTACTCCCTACTCACTACTCCCAACTCACTACTCACTACTTACTCACTACTCACTACCCAGTACTCAATACTCACTACTCACAAAACACTACTCACTGCCCACTACTCACTACTCAACAAGCACTACTCACTACCCACTATCCACCACTCAATACTGAGTACTCAGGGTTCACTCCTCACTACTCACTGCCCACAACTCACTACTCACTATCCGCTGCTCGCTATTCGCTACTCCCTACTCCCTACACAGTACACACTGCTCACTACTCACTACTCACTACTCGCTACCCCCTACTCGCTATTCGCTACCCAATACGCAGTATTCATTACCCACTACGCACTACTCACTACTCAATACTCCCTACTCCCTACTCGCTAGGCACTAGTCACAAGTCGCTATTCACTACTCACCATATGACACCGGAGAAAAACCCAAATCAAGGCTATGGGTCTAGGGGGCTATAGGGCTATAGGGCTATTGAGCTATAGGGCTATGGAGCTATAGGGCTATAGAGTTGTAGGGCTATAAGGCCATTGGGTTATTGGGCTACAAGGCCATAGGGCCATAGGGATTAGCGCTAGAAGGCTAGAGGGCTACAGGGCACCCCGGGCACCCCCGGGCACCCAGGCACCCTGGCGTGCAGCGAAAACCGGCGACAAACCGAACCTAATCATATGAATCCGCTAAGACCCCTACAAAGGCAAGCTCTGATTGGGGAACTACTCGCGACTCACTACTCACTACTCACTACTCGCTACTCCCTACGCACTACCAACTACCCACTACTCAATACCACTTCTCACTTCTCACAACTCACTACTCACTACTCACTACTCACTACTCACTACTCCCTACCCACTACTCACCACTCACTACCCACTACTCACAACTCACTACTCGCTACTCCCTACCCGCTACTTACTACTGACTACTCCCTCCTCAATACTCACTACTCACAATGCCGTATTCGCGACTCACTATTCACTATTCGCTACTCCCTACTCGCTACTCACTACTCACTACCCACTACCCACCTCCCACTATGCACTACTCACTACCCACTACTCACTCCTCCCTCATCACTACTCGCTACTACCTACTCAGCACTGACTATCCACTCACTACTCACTACTCAGTACTCACTACACTCTACTCACTACTCATTACTCACTATCCCGAGGCCAGACCCCCCCCCCTTTCGGGAGAGGCCCCCTCCCCGGCCCCCTGTTCGGCGCAAAGGGGGGGAGGGGGGGGAGTTCGACCCCCCCCCCCTTCCAGCGCCAAGGGGGGGAGGGGAGGAGGGGGTGCGGACCCCCCCCCTCAAAGGGAGGGGGGGGGGAGAGGGGGGGTTCGGACCCCCCCTTAAGGGGGGGAGGGGAGAGGGGGGTCGAAAATCTCACCCCCCCTTTGAAGGGAGGGGAGGAGGGGGGGTCGGCGAGCACATCCCCCCTTTTCAACTCCTGGGTGATCCAGTGGCGCGCTTTCCCTCTGATGCGCAACACTGGAATTATTGCGGAAACAGTGGGCCCAATATATGGACTCCCTTGTGGCGGCCCAAAGAAGCGCTTCAGCCACTCCAAGATGCCACAAGAGTGTCTCCGAAGAGCCCCAGGGAGACCCCAAGAGGCCTCAACGGCCCAGATGACCCTAAGATGTTCCGAAAGGGTCCTGAAGCCCTCCAGCAGCAGCAGTGGCAGCAGCAGTAGTCACCTGTAGACAGCCAATAGCGCAGCGCTCGTCAATCCCTATCCAGAGGCAAGCCCTCAGACCCCCCAGTTGGGTACCTGTCTGGACCGCAAAGCGAGTTGAAGAGTTCGCACGCGCACGGACGCGTTGACGTGTGTGTTTGTGTACGTGCACGCGCCAGTGCGCAGATGCGCACCCGCCCATCCACAAGACGCAGAGCGGAACCCGTGGAGGCCGCACCAGTGGGGCCCGAGCATCCAGGGTCGGAGGATCGCACCGCATCGCCGACGCATCGGCGCTGCCCTGGCGAAGCCCGGGGTGGGCAAAATCGGGCCCTGGACCTCGCCGCGCCGCGGATGCGTCGGCGACGCGGCACGAGCCCCGGACCCCGGCTGCTCCAGCCTTCGGGTCGGGCATGTCCCCCTGCATCGGGAGCGGCCAAGAGGGGGGTGTCCAAGAGGGGGGGATGCAAATCATGACCAGCGGCATGTGCGCGGCCCAGCGGGGGGGCCTGGAACGTAATGAAATAAGAAGAGGCGCCATGAAATCTGAGGAAAAATCATGGCCCGCGCCATGAAATCCACCCCCCCCCTAGTCATCACCCCCCTCTTTTCCGCTCCCGACTGCAGGCGGACCTCGGAAGAAGCATACACACTGGTCCAAAAATTCACTCAAAAAGCAATCCGAGCGGGGCAGGAAAAAGCGTCCCCTACAGACTGGTCTAAAATGTTACTCAAAAAGCAATCCGAGCGGGGCAGGAAAAAGCGTCCCCCACAGACTGGCCCAGAATTTTACTCGAGAAGCAATCCGAGCGGGGCAGGAAAAATCGTCCCCTACAGACTGGTCCAAAATTTTACTCCAAAAGCCATCCGAGCGGGGCAGGACAAAGCGTCCCCTGCAGACTGGTCCAAAATGTTACTCAAGAAGCAATCCGAGCGGGGCCGGAAAAATCGTCCCCCACAATCCGGTCCAAAAATTTTCTCAAAAAGCAATCCGAGCGGGGCAGGAAAGCGTGATCCAGGAGCCTGCAGCGGCGGAGTCGCCCGGGTACCCCTCTTCCTGACCCGTCCTCCGACCTGTGAGTTTTCGAGGCCCGGCGGGGGCTGGACCAGAGGCGAGGGGAGGGCCAGGGGTCGGCGGTTGGCCCGGAGAGGCGGATGCTCTCGTGTCGCCGTCCTCCGGCCTGGTGCCTCGGCTCGGCTCCAGAGCTCCCTGTCGGTCGTCGCGAGCAGGAGGACCACTCAAAAATCGTCCCCGGGGCCACAAATACTCCAAAAATAGTCCCCTGGCTATGTTTTGGCTGCCTTTAAAACAGAGCTAGGATCGGGATAAATCGCTCCAGAGCGTTCCGGAGCGCTCTCAGAGCGTTCCGGAACGCTCTGGAGCGGCCGCGGCGCCCAATACATCCTCCAAACCCGCCGATTCTCAGAGATTTCGAGTTATCCCGATCCGATTTTGTCCCGATCTTCGCGTCGTTTTAGTCTTGGAACAGTCCTCCTGCAGAGGGACCGGCCCGACTCGAGCCTCGCCTGGGCGGCCCGGCGCCCCGAGCGCCCTTGGGGCCCCCGC